GGCCCGGCGGCGCCGCAGCCCATGGAGCTCGAGAACATCGTAGCGAACACGGTGCTACTCAAGGCCCGGGAAGGTGAGGCTGCCGGGAGGGCGGCCGGGTGAGGGGAACGCTAGCGCGCGGCCTGCGAGCTCGGCGGGGTGTCCCAGCCGCTCGCCCCCTGAGGGCTCCCCGCACCGGCGCAGACCCGAGCCTTTTCGGCCGGTAGTCTCAGCGCCTCCGCACCTGCCGCTGGAGTCAGGGCCCTGGAAGGGGCGGAGGTCAGGCCACCGCCCTCGCGGGGACACTGCTCGGGGGAGGGTCTGCGCAGAATGGAGGAAGAGGGAAGGGTGAGATCTGAGCCCCGGGGCGCCTCTCCGAATCTCCGTACTGAGAAGTGAAACGATGCCCCAGGAAGGGGGGGCCGCCTACAGTGCCAGGGGCCCAGACCTCGCGCCTATCCTCTGGAGTCCAGCCTGCACCGGCGCAAAGTTGGTGCAGGTAGTAAGTCTGAAAATGAATGCACTTATCCGCCACCTTAACACAGACCACCAGATTTGGGAAAACTGCTTCTGGTTATATATACTATTGATCACACTTGCTCGGTGCATCAGGACATGGGGGACAGAGGCGAATGAGTCACCATTTTTGCCCTCAGGAAGCTCAGGGAACTCAGGGCAACTGTGCACAGAAATAAGTACAAGCAAAGCTTTGAAGGAAAAGAGCATGCCCGGGTGGCCCAACCTTAAGTTTAGAGTACTTTGGGCCAGCCATGGAACTTGGTCTGTGTGGAACTCTTTGCGTGTTATCAGGCTCCGGCTGTGTTATCAGGCTCCGACTCTGTGTTATCAGGCTCTGGCTCTGTGAGGTTGCAGGACACACTGGAGCATCATACCTAGCTCTGTTACAGTCTGCCCTTCACCTATGATTGCCCATCTCAGTAACATAATCAGCAAACACCTAGTTGGTGTCTTGTCATGTCCAGGGTGCTGGAGACCTAGCATGAACAAGACCCTTTTTGAAACTTGGACTGGAAGGTTGGGACAGCTTTTCCACTCTTTGTTGGGCTTCCAGGATGAAAGCTTTATTTTTATCGTTGCCCCATTTTACAGGTGAGAAACTGAGACTCAGACTGAGATGTTAGCCCCCCACCCCCACACACTGACCAGGTCTGGGACACAGGATGGCCCCAACAGAAGCTCAGAGGAGACCCCAGCTAGCACAACATCTGTGCTCCCTATTGGCCTCAGGCAGGCTGGGTCCTTAGTGCCCAGAACCTTCCTTATCTTCTGTCCCCCTAGCCTCTGGTCTTCCTCCCAGTCTCTAGGGGCATCTGCTGATTCTGTTCTGCCTCGTCATCCAGCTAGCCAGGGAGGAGGAGTTGGAAGAGCCTGGCCAGGACTCCCTCCCAAGAGCTGTAGTCAGTTCAGGTCTCAAGCCTGCTGAGGGCACCGCCTTGACTGGCCAGAGAGCGGGGCCACTTTTGGAAGGCTTCTTCCAACCATCCTAGAGGCTCTGGGGAGTATGGTCCAACTGGAGACCCGCCACTTGAGAACCCTCACCCCAATGTGATTCTGTCCCTCCTGCTTGTATGACTCTAGACTAGTCTCTTTATGAACTTCACCCTTCTTGTGAAATGGCTGGGGTCAAGGAAACAAGGAAATAAATCCCAGTTGTCACTGAGTCCTTGGCCCTCGGGCTGTCTGCATCAGAATCACTTCATGACCTGCCTGATAGCTTGAAGTCAGGGTCTTTGCCAGCTTCCCGGATGATCCGATAATTTCAGTGATGGGTGTGTGTATACAGTTGACACCTGATAGATGTCAACTGTATGTGGAGGGTGGGCAAAGAGCTTGGGATATGGTCCTAGGGAGCTGGGTTTCAGCCCTGCTTTGCCACTTTCAGGACTTGCGATCTTGGACATATTAATTCTCATTTCGGAACCTGGGGTTTCCCTGTGAATTTGGGTCAGGTTTGGCAGAATGGTTGCAAGGATGTTGTAGGCCTGGGGTGTGAGCCTTTACTCAGTCCAAGAGGCCCAGGGAGGGGGCCATGCTAGTGTGGGGAGGAGCCCCATTACCTGGTAGCAGTTCCATCCCAGCACAGGATATTTGCATGTGACTCTGCTGTTGCCTTGATGTGGCCAAGGGGGAGGGGGAGGAGGAAGTAACTGGTAGGGGGAGGCAGCAGATGGAAAGTTGGGTGAGAGACCTGCGGGAGTGGGGGAGGAGTTCCCCTTCTGGGGAGGCCTGACCCTGAGTAAGGGATGCAAGTGAGGGGTCTGTTGCTCATTAGCAGTGAAGCAACGACGTGTGTGCGGACGTGTGTGCGTGTGCGTGTGTGCTGGGGACTGAAAGACTGCAGGAGGCCGCTAGCAAGTTTCTCAATGGGTGCCTGCAACACTTCCTCCTCCAGGCAGCTTATGTCAAAGAGACCTAGCCCTTTCCCCTAAGCCATCCACCTTCATCCAGTTCGGATGAAAACAAGGCTGGGGAAACTGAGGCCAGGCACAGGAAAGTGAATTGCCTGAGGTTGTCATCGAGTTGTTGAAGTGAGGCTCACCTCTTGCCACAGCCCTGGTGGGAGCCAGACAGACTCCCACTCACCCTCACATCACTGGAGATAGCTTTGAACCCAAAGTGCACTGGAAGAAACTGAAGTTCTTGGAGGGCAAGTGATAAACATTAGTTAGGGATTCAACCATAGGTCTGTGAGGCCCCAGGTACAGACTTTTCTTTCATTTTCAACCTGGTGGCTGGTGAGCCACCTCTGGTCACTTCTTTAACGTATTTAATTTATTTGGCTGCAGTGGTTTTTGATAAAATAGGAACCCATATACCTTATAAAAGTCCAGATTCCCAGATGCTTTTGAGAAATCAAATGGAAGCAGGCCTCAAGCAATCAGCATTCTTGCCTAGCAACAGCCAAGCAATTGAAGTTCTTTTGTAGTTAACCCTGTTGGAAGGAGCATGCCTAGTCCAGTTCACCACACTCCCCACCATTCCCTATTGTCTCCTACCTGACCCACATTTAGCATATCTATCTGGCCTTATAGGCACTTGAGCTACTACCCTGATCTACATATGGGGTCAGCTAGTTAAAATGAGGTGGCAAGTGTCAGGAAAGCCCGTATGCAGTGTGGGGGCGGTTCTTGAGTGCTAGCCATCCTGACATCTCCTTATTTCAGTCTCTAATAGCTCATATGCAGAGCCCAGGAATAGGGACCTATAGCTTCCCCAGTGGCCCAGGCTTTTTTCCCTGTCTCTGGCATTGCTTCTCAAGCATGACCTGGAATCTCTCCTTTCTGGGCCTTGACTTATTCAGTTCCCACCTTCTCTGTGATGTCCTCTTTACTTCACTGGGACACCCTACCTGGGAGGAAGCAGCTGAGACTGGACCCCTTGCTGAAGCTACCGGGAAACCCCACCCTCCCTCACCAGCCTGGCCTCACTGTTCCTCATGGCTCATCCAGTCCTGGAGGCCAGCAAGGGGTTGTTGGAGCCCAGTGTACTGTGCCTCCCACAGTACACTGGTAAAGTTGGAGCCTCAGGTCTCTGGAGCATGCCGAGAGGAAGCCCAGACTCAGCATGCATTTGTCCCCACAGGTGGCAGTGGGAATCGCAAAGGCAAAAGCAAGAAATGGCGTCAGATGCTGCAGTTTCCCCACATCAGCCAGTGTGAAGAGCTACGCCTGAGTCTTGGTGAGGTCTGGGTGGAGATGGGGGTGGGATGGTAGCTAAGACCAGGGGGACCTACTGAAACGTAGGCACAGGTGGAAGGAGAGTGTTGAGGGGCTTGGGGAACACATACCCTGCCGAGCTTCAGTTTCTGAGTGCGGTTGGGGGAAAGCAGAGAGTAAAGAAGACAGCAGGGGCAGGGTGTGTGGGTGTGAAGAGTAGGGCAGGGTCAAGTTTGGGGCATTCAAAGAGAAACAGAGGAAGGGAGGACCACACCCATAGGGCAGCACAGTGCGGGTTGGAACCTTCCACAGATTGACTGTGCTCGGAACTCTTGTTCTGTGCTCAGCCCCACCCAGCAAAGCCTTATTTAAAGATGCTCAGAATGGGCGGTGTGGCAGAGTTCCTTGTGGAAGGGGACAGGAGAGTCTAGATCCCCTCTGATAGCCTCCATGCGGGCATGGGGTAGACTGCAACTTCTTAACACTGCCTGGGAAGGAGGCCTAGCCTGAGCTCAACGGAAGCCACAGCTTCCTCCCCACTTTCGCCAGGCAGGCAGCAGGTGTGAGCCTGGCCCTGCCGGAACCTCACAGACCACACCCAACCCCAGTTCTCTGACGTATGCAAGTGATGTGAACCAGCAAGGGGGAGGTGAGGGCCCTCTCCTGGAGCTACAGTCCTGGTTATGGGGCTCTGTAGATCTGTGTATCACTTAGCCTGTGTGGGTCTCAGAATTCCCAGCTCTGATGAGAAAAACAGTATTTCTTACCTCAGTTGTGGTGAGGATTCCAAAGGAGATAATGGCAGCCAGACTACAGGGCTGGAAGACATCACTGGGGCCCAAGGCCTGGCAGTATAGACAGGAGTGCCCTGCTGGCTCCAGCCAGGCCTGGGAATCCAACAGCACCCATCTGCCCACAGAGCGTGACTACCATAGCCTGTGCGAACGGCAGCCCATCGGACGTCTGCTGTTCCGAGAGTTCTGCGCCACAAGGCCAGAGCTGACCCGCTGTATTGCCTTCCTGGATGGGGTGGTGAGTGCAGCCCAGACCTCATCCAGAGGCCCCGGGCAGAGGAAGAGGGGAAGCCCCAGGCCACATGTGCCCAAGCTCCCCACACCTGTCGCTCTGGCAGCCCTCAAGCCTCTCTGCCTCTGTCCTGCAGGCCGAGTATGAAGTGACCCCTGATGAGAAGCGGAAGGCATGTGGGCGGCGGCTGATGCAGAATTTTCTGAGCCACACAGTGAGTGAGCAGTGATGGAGGGATGACGGTGGTGTGCAAAGCTCAGTGATGGGGAAAGAAATGACCACAGCCTGGGCAGAGAGTGCCCTGGCGCTGCTCCAGGCTTACCAGGCAGTTCTGTGGGCATGGAGCCCAGGAGGACAGGCCGGGACTCTGGGCCAAACAGCCTGCCAGCGGCTCTGTTTCACCCTGCCCAAGAGGCGCAGTAGGAGTGGAATTCTGCAACTGGGTGCTGGGGTACCCTTGACCTACAACCACCCCAGACACAGGCTTGAGATATCTGCTGTCTCTGCCTGAGGAGTGGACAGCTGAACAGGGGAGACCGCCTGCACTGACCTGTCTGTGGTCTGTCCCTAGGGTCCTGACCTCATCCCCGAGGTTCCCCGGCAGCTGATAACTAACTGTGCCCAGCGGCTGGAACAGGGACCCTGCAAAGACCTCTTCCAGGAGCTCACCCGGTAAGCTTCTCGCTGCCACAGACCTGGAATTATGTCCAGAGGAGGGACTTGTGTGAGCCTAGAAGGCTGTGAATGGGTCAGCAGCTAGTCTGTGAGGGAGCTGTCTTTTCTCCCCGGCCTTGCTCTGCTGTGGGACCTTGGGCAGTCGTCTGCCCTCTGTAGCAGCCTTAGCTTCAGCATGGGCTTTATGTCTGCTGCCTGGGGAGGTGGGTTGGCATTAGAGGTAGATGAGGATGATGAGCCGGCACTGAGCAAGGAGCCTGGCCCATTGAGCCAAGAATGGGGTGGGGGTGGGTAGTGTCAGGCCAAATGACAGGCTGGGCCTTCCCAACAGGCGGACTCACGAGTATCTGAGCATGGCCCCCTTTGCTGACTACCTCGACAGCATCTACTTCAACCGTTTTCTGCAATGGAAGTGGCTGGAAAGGTGAGTTCATCGAAGACTGGACTGGGATAGACCAGGTTGCTAGGGCTCTCGTGCGCCTTGGGCCCCTGCTCAGCTAACATTTGTTCCCCAACCCCTTGCCCACAGGCAGCCAGTAACCAAAAACACCTTCAGGCAGTACCGAGTGCTGGGCAAAGGTGGCTTTGGGGAGGTGAGTGGCTAGGCCAGAGCCTAGGCAGAGGGCGGAACGTGGGCTAAGGTGGGTGCCATGTTAGCCCCTTCCCCTCTCTGAGCCCTTGGAAGGGCTGGCCCCAGGAAGGACATGGCTAGTGCCCATTTGCCCCATCTGCTGTGGCTCTAGGTGTGTGCCTGCCAGGTGCGGGCAACAGGCAAGATGTATGCCTGTAAGAAGCTAGAGAAGAAGCGGATCAAGAAGCGGAAAGGGGAGGCCATGGCGCTCAATGAGAAGCAGATCCTGGAAAAAGTGAACAGTAGGTTTGTAGTAAGTACAGACAGAAGACCCACCCTCCACCCTGCCCTGACCCCTTGGAGATGCCCAGGAAGGGCAGGTTTGGGGTGTTGGCACCAGGCCTGGGGAGCAGGCTGGGCCCCCAGCAGCAGCACTGAAGGATTGAGGGGTAGCCAGTATCAGCCCTGCCACTAAGTTGGCCTGAGGCCTCTGCTTGAGGGCGTGGGTCCCCTCGGCCACAGGTGAGCTTGGCCTATGCCTATGAGACCAAGGATGCACTGTGCCTGGTACTGACGCTGATGAATGGAGGTGACCTCAAGTTCCACATCTACCACATGGGCCAGGCTGGCTTCCCGGAGGCTCGAGCTGTCTTCTACGCTGCTGAGATCTGCTGTGGCCTGGAGGACCTGCACCGGGAACGCATCGTATACAGGTTGGAGGCTGGCAAAGCACAGTGGAAGTGGCAGAGGATACGGGGTGCTGTGGCCACCCCAGAGGCTACAGTCTGTTGCACACTGGCTCAGGGCTCCAAGCTCCAAGCCCCAAGCCCCACACTAGAGGGACTTGAGACGCTCAGGACCCAGCCCTTGGGGTCTAGCTGACCCAAGTTTGAATCTAGTATTGTTGATCCTTTCTGTGTGACCTCAGGCCAGTCAACTCCCTGCTTCCAACACTATTACCTTTCCTGGGAAGCAGGGAAGCAGATTATGTGGTAAAAGCTTCAGGTGTGGAGCCTGGCACAGAAGGCTCAACAGTGGACTCTCTTATTATTGTTCTTAGTGATGACTTTGAGCCTCCCATCAGCCACAAGAGGGGATGGACGCATAGGCCCATTTGACAGATAGGAAAGTAGAGTCAGCCACCAAAGGGGAGAGAAGTAGGGAGCTACTCTCCTACTATTGATTTGTTCTCCACTTTACCCATCTTGAGTGGGAGCTGCTTCCATTTCCTGACTCTGCAGATCCTTCCTGCTCCTTGGCAAACAGGGTAACCTCTAGCTCTGCCCTTTCCTCCTTCAGGGACCTGAAACCAGAGAATATCCTCCTGGATGACCATGGTAGGTGGAAAGCCACAGAGGTGGTAGGGGATGGGGAGGGCCTGGCCCACCTGCTTAATGCGCCTCCACCCAAATTTAGGTCATATCCGCATCTCTGACCTGGGGCTGGCTGTGCACGTGCCTGAGGGCCAGACCATCAAAGGCCGAGTAGGCACTGTGGGCTACATGGGTGAGTCTCCCACCAGTCTGGCCCACCCATCTCCTGGGTCTCATCACTGACTAGTGCCTGACCCACCAATTTAGTTTGGGGGTCTTCTGAGTCCTAGGGACTAGAGATAGCTGTTGTTCTGCAGCCAGGGCCCTGCACACATGTGAATTCACATCATTCCTGTATACTTACTTGCCTGGGCTTGCTGCTGGCTACCAGTGAAGGATGAGTGGGACTCAAACTCCTTTCCATAAGCCTAGCCCTCCCCAGAACTCCCCAGGCTCAGATCCCTCCAGGGACCGCATAACACACAGGACACACCTTTTGCTTGTTGTTTCCTTGACCCAGATCACCCCGCACCATCCCTACCTTACAGCCTCACTTTCTGCAAGAGTCATACCTGCCCTAGGGTAGCCTTGAGGATGAAGTAGAGGTAGGCAAACCCTGGCAGGCAGGCAGTATTCTGTAAATGAGACTCCTTTCTCGTGTTAAATTCAGAGGTTGAAACTGGTAGCCACAAAGGCCTTATTTGGCCTACATTTGTGCTCAAATCAAGTCATTTTAAAAATAGCTTGAATTGGTCATCAACATTGAGGAAGCGAGGCAGCCTCACATTAAAAATAGAAATTTGTCTTTCCTTGAAAAAAAGCAGAAGACCTAGCCCTGGCCCTTCCTGCTGCCCTTTGATGAGCCAAGCACTCGCCTGCTCTTGGGTGCCCATGGGCGGGTAGATGATCATTTGAGCTGATCCCCTGATAATGTATGCAGGGTGTTCTGGGCCCCAGAGTAGCACTGACCCTCACCTCCACCGCCCCTCCAGCTCCCGAGGTGGTGAAGAATGAGCGGTACACATTCAGTCCAGACTGGTGGGCGCTGGGCTGCCTCCTGTACGAGATGATTGCAGGCCAGTCGCCCTTCCAGCAGAGGAAAAAGAAGATCAAGCGTGAGGAGGTGGAGCGGCTGGTGAAGGAGGTTCAGGAGGAGTACTCCGAGCGTTTTTCACAGCAGGCACGCTCGCTCTGCTCCCAGGTGGGCTCTACCGACAGTGGGAGTGGGAGGCCAGACCAGTGGAGAAGAAGCACCTGTCCCCAGCTACCCTGACCGACCATGCCCCACTGCAGCTTCTCTGTAAGGACCCTGCTGAGCGCCTGGGGTGTCGTGGGGGCAGCGCCCAAGAAGTGAAGGAGCATCCGCTCTTCAAGAAGCTGAACTTTAAGCGACTGGGAGCTGGCATGCTAGAGCCACCTTTTAAACCTGATGTGAGTACTGCCCACTGTGGCTGAGGGAAGACCTAGCCTGGTGCGCGCTGGGGACCCCTGGAGGTGGATCAGTATATGTTCTATGCCAGCATCAGAATACCCAAAGTTAAATGGCTTAGCCAGCAAAGACACAAGTCTCCCCAGCTATCCAAAAGTAGAACTGTCTGATTTGGTATGGCTTGGTAAGATTTGGGGTGGGGGTGTTGAGAACCCTGTTATCGCTTTAATTGATTTTTTAAAGATTTATTTTATTTATGCATACACGAGCTGGGGTGTAGGCCAGAGGTGGGGGGTAGGGGGTGGTGAGGATTCATCAGAGACAGAATGTGGAACAGAACAGGCAGATGTACTGAAATACACTGCTGAGGGGAGCAGCAGGTGAGATGGGAGAGGTCTGCCTGCGCCTCACGGATCTTAATGCTGAGACTGTACCCCGTGTGCCACCAGGGAGGCCCTATCCCATTAATTAACATATGGGAAAATGTTGAAGTGTTCCCAGACCCAAAAATAACTTACCAGGTCATACCAAGTAGGCACACTCTACTTTCAGATATTGGGGGAGACCTGTAATCCTCTAGACTCACACAAAAAGCCCCAGGAGGATTTTTGAGGTGGGAAGAAGTGATTAAGATGTTCTAAAATTAATTGTGTGATGGTTACACAACTCTGAATATACCAGAAGCCTTTGAAATATATGGCTTCCCTGGTGGTGCCAGGGGTTAAGTCTCAGCACTATGAAGCTATCTGCAGCCATTGCAGCATGAGTTTGAAGCTGACCCACATGGCGCAGCAGACCCCTCCTGACCTGCCTACTGCTCCCCTCAGCAGTGTATTTTAGTAAACCCGCTGCTCTGCTCCCCGCTCTGTCGCTGGTGAATCCTCTCACTTCCCCCACCTTGGCCTTTCCCCCCGTTCTTGTATGCATAAATAAATAAATCTTTTTAAAAAAAGAAATCTGTGGCTTACAGGTCCGACTGTTGGCAGATCCAGAACCAGGGCTGTAGCCATGCTGAAGGAATTCTGTCTCACTTGTTCCCTTCTGGTCACCTTTCAGTCTTGATACCCAGACTGCTGTCTCTAGTCCCATCCATTCACTGAGCATCTCAGTGGATCAGCCTCCGACAGGCAGGAACACCCTCCAGTCTTCAGATTCCAAGTGTGTGCCTGATGGCAGGTTTACTGGTTTCTTTGGATAGCAAGTCCCAGATCAGCCCCAACATAGGGGCTTTATACCTTGTTGCCAGGACTCCATCTCTTGGTTCTGTTCAACCCATTGACTGTCCTCTGCTGAGTGTAAAGTCACAGGGAAGGTACTGATCATACAAGTTATGTGCTTGTCCTTCTCTCATGTTTAAGTGGACCAGGTCCTGTGATTGACGCTTCCCCAGGAACACAGGGGAGACCAGAAGATGGAGGATAGGCCAGACTGATGGCTGTCAGTCACACATATGATTGTTTATTTGATCAATAATATCTTAGTGTCTGACCTCAGAGATAATGTGTTGATAGGACCCAGTTCTGTTCTTTCTGTGAGTCCCATTGAGGAGATCCACCAAAATCAACCAGTAAAGGGCCCTCCTCTGTGGCACAGCAGGTTAAAGCACAGTACTATGAAGCTATCTGCAGCCACTGCAGCATGAGTTAGATGTCTGGCTAGGGAGGTGACCCACATGGCACAGCAGACCTCTCCTGAACTACCCACTGCTCCCCTCAGCAGTGTATTTCAGTCAGTTTACCTGTTCTGCCCCCTACATTGTCTCTGGTGAATCCTCCCCCCCCCCCAACCCCCGTACCTCTGGCTTGTACCTCAGTTCTTGTATACATAAATAAATCTTTTCCCAAAAATGGGGGAAAGAATGTCAGGTTATAGAAAGAGTAAAAGAGAAGATGAGGAATGATGGGGGTACGCATATTTTTAGATAGGATAGGTCTGCTGCAGAAACCTCAGATGTGTTTAAGAGATAGCAGTGCTAAGACTTGAGGCAGGGAGAAGGAACAACATAGAGGCCTGGAGTAGGAACCAACTCTAAGAGGAAACAGCACCCAGGATGCCAGTGTGTTTGGAGAGATGTGATTGTTATTCTCAATGTGGTGGGGCCTTTCGGGGCTGTCATCAAATGTGAGGTGTGGGTAGTAGGCCTTAGAGGGTGAGTGGGAGTGAGAGGTCAGTTAGGAGGCTGTTGCCTCTGACAGGTTCTGTCAGGTAGGCCTCACTTGTAGGCGGTACCTGGCTTCTACGGCCTACCTCCGAGTTGACACAGCCACTGCATTCTACACCTTCCTGTTTCCTGTGCACCTCACCTCTTTAACCTTGAAGTCATTCCACTGCTCCCAGGTCTTTTATTCAAGGTTCTCTAGAGAAACTCAGTGTTTAGAGCTTCACCTTTTAGAAGCAGCAAATGAAAATCAAGCTCTATGATGGTATCATTTTTTAAAAAAAGATTTATTTATTTATACATATAGAACTGGGGTACAGGCCAGAGGTGCAGGGGCGGTGAGAAGATTCATCAGAGATGAGAGTGGGGAGCAGAACAGTACACTGCTAAGTAAGAGCAGCAGGTGAGACAAGAGAGGTCTGCTGCACCATGTGGGTTACCTTTGGGGCGGGGATCGAACTCATGCTGAAGTGGCTTTAGCTTCTTAATGCTGTATTTTAACCCGCTGCACCACCAGGGAGGTCCCTCTGGTATCTTTTTTTTTTAATATGCATTTTTATTTATTTATGTCTAGAGGAACTGGGGCATAGGCACAGGATATTTTTGTTGCACCATGTGGGTCAGCTCCCTGGCTGGGGATTGAACTCATGCTGCAGTGGCTGCATACAGCTCGATAGCACCAAGACTTAACTCCTGCACCACCAGGGAGGCCCCCCCTCTGCCCCGTTAGTATCATTTTTACTAGTCCTAAACCCTATCAAGATTTAATTCACATACCATGAAATTCTTTCTTTCCTTTTTTTTTTTTTTGCATAGAAGAATTGAGGTATAGGCCAGAGGTACAGGGGGTGAGAGGATTCACCAGAGACAGAATGGGGAACAGAACAGGCAGATCTACTGAAATATATTGCTGAGGGGAGCAGTAGGTGATGCAGGTGAGAGAGCAGAGTCTGCTGCACCATGTGGGTCACTTCCCTGGGCCAAGGATCGAACTCAGGTCATAGTGGTGATAGCACTGAGACTTAACATGTAGGCCTCCAGTTCATTTATTTAAAGTGCATAATTCAATAACTTTTATTAAATTTTTTTCAAAGATTTGTTTCATTTTATTTATGCATCAGAGCTGGTATAGGCCAGAGGTGCTGGGCGGTGGGTGAGAAGATTCACCAGAGACAGAGTTGGGAACAGGACAGACAGAATTGAGATACACTGTCGAGAGGCGCAGTAGGCAATACAGGAGAGGCCCTGTGAGTCACCTCCCTGGCAGGCTGGGGTTTGAACTCATGCTGCAGTGGCTGCCAGTAGCTTCCTAGTGCTGAAGCTTAACCTCTTGTACCACCAGGGAGACCCCAATTCAATGACTGTTAGTATATTTACAGTTGTGTGATTATCAACAAAATTTGAAGACATTTTCATCATCACATGTCCACTCCAGAGAAAACCCCTCACCCATAGTGGTCATTTTCCCGTCCTCTATTTCCCTGGCTTCTGGCCACCAGTAATGTCCTTTCTGTCTCTGTATTTGACTATTCTAGACATTCCATGTAAGTGGGGTTAGATGTGGTATGGTCCTTTCTGATTGGCGCCTTTCACTTAGCGTTGTTTCCAAGGTTCATCAGTGCTGTTGCATTTATCAGCACAGCCACATGCCACATGAGGTATCACCTTTCAGTGGTAGTCCCTAAGTACAGCGTGGTGTGTCAGGCTAGACCATCTAGGTTTATGTAGGTGCTCTAGGACATTCACTGCACAGCAATATTGTCTATTGATCCATCTCTCAGGGTGTTTTCCTGTAGTTAAATGACACATGAGTGTGCGTTGGTCCGTTTTTATGCCTGCAACATACAAAGGATGCACACGCCTTCCTTTGTTTATCTGTGCATCAGTTTATGGGCAGTGGAGTCATTTCTACTTTTTGGCTAATTTGAACAAGCTTTTGTGGGGACATACATTTCCACTTATCTTGAGTGTATACCTCAGAGTGGAACTGCTGCTGATGTATAGGTTGCACGGTGTTTAACCCTGGTGGGGAAGTGCCAGGCGTTTTTCCAAAGCAGCCGTACCCTTTTACATGTCTTCACTGCCACCCTTAACAGCGGCATTTCAAAAACAACGCAAAGACAAACAAACAAGTGGCCTTCTGAAGTGGGGAAGGCTCCTGGCAGAGGCCTGGGGTATGGAAGGCGAGAGACTTGGTTGGCTGTGGAATATGCAGAAAGATGGAGCAAGCCATTGGGCACCCCAGGAAGAGGACCCATCACCCCAGGTCCTGCAGAGGGGTGCTGCACTGAGAGGACCAGCTGAAATTCAGCCTCACTCACGTCACCCATTGCACCCCCAGATGATGTGAATATGGAGTGGGGTATTGCCCCACTCCATATTTTTAAATTTAAATATATATTTTTTAAATTTATAATAGTTTATTTTTGCATCATTTTGTGCTTTTTTCCATCTCAGTTCCCATGGACTTCCCATCACCAAATCACCCATGTGCCATCACCATAGTCCAGTGCATTTCCCTCCCCAGAGTGGGGTATCTTTTATTACATCCACAGCTCCTTGGCGGCTGGCTGGGTAGAGCAGATCCACTCCCACTGACTGGTTAATGAACAGTGAGGGATAATGATCCCCATCTACAGTAAAGCACCCCCATTCCTGGCCCCAAACTGGAGGGCTCCAGGAGACAGCAACAACCATGCCTGTGCTGGAGTAAACCTGGGTTAAGCTACCCTCCTGTCTGAGTGTCTGTATGTGTATTAGTGTACGTCTGTCTATGTGTGTCTGTATGTACTTTGGTACCTGTGTGTGTGTGCTTGTGTGTGTGTATGTACCTGTGTGTGGTCTGCATCTATGATGTTACTGACGGCCACCTCTGCCTTCCTAGCCGCAAGCCATTTACTGCAAGGATGTTCTAGACATTGAACAGTTCTCCACGGTTAAGGGTGTGGAACTGGAGCCCACTGATCAGGACTTCTACCAGAAGTTTGCCACAGGCAGTGTACCCATCCCCTGGCAGAATGAGGTGGGGCCTGCTCAACAGGAGGGGTGGGCTTCGGGGTGGGGGTGGCTCTAGGGGATGCTCTGACCACTGCCTGTTCTGTGGCAGATGGTGGAAACGGAGTGCTTTCAGGAATTGAATGTCTTTGGACTGGATGGCTCAGTGCCCCCCGATCTGGACTGGAAGGGGCAGCCGCCCGCACCCCCCAAAAAGGGACTGTTGCAGAGACTCTTCAGTCGCCAGGTAACCCCCAGTGGTGTCCCACGTGGGCCCCCAACCTGGCTCCAGGGGACGGTGGGTGGGAGGCAGAGCCGGTGCCCGCATGTGCTGGGAGTAGGCAGCCTCCAGCCATGCCAGTGGTGCCCAGGGTCTCTGGCCTCATTCCCGCCTGTCCCCCATCCCTTGGCCAGGCTCACAGCCTCTTTTCTTTTTCCAGAGGTGAGCAGTGTGGGCTCCCCGTGGGTTGGCCTTGCTGCCTGGCCTCGGGGAGCCACAGGCAGCCCTTCCATGGCAGAGGCGAGATGTGGGCGAAAGAAGTCTGCTGCCCGCTCCCTCCTCCCCTGCCCCCTTCCCACTGCTTCTGTCACCTGCACCCTGGCATCTGCGAGCTGCTGGCCTTGCTTAGCCGTCTTGTCCCCATGCCCTGCCGCCACCTGCCCCAGGGGAAAGGGGCCAGATGAGGCCTTGCCTAGCAGAGTCTGGGGTCGACCTGTTAGCCCTGACTTTAGTATTGCTAGCAGCCTTGTACAGATACCCACACAGGCACCTTGTGGGGAGCCCCTTCCCCGGAGCATGGCCCGGGGCAGCACCTGGAGTGGCCTCGGTGACAACCCTGTGGCTAACAGCGCTCGCTCTGCCTCTCTCCCTCCGTGTCTTCCCTGCCCCTCCAGGATTGCTGTGGGAACTGCAGCGACAGTGAGGAAGAGCTCCCCGCTCGCCTTGAGCTCCCCACCCACCTCGAGCTCCCCACCCGCCTCTAGCCCCATGCCTGAGGCCCCCAATGGCAGTTGGCGGTAGCAGCCACTCCAGGCGCTGTTTACAGTTTTGCACAGTGAACTTCCCCAGTGGCCACTCATGTGGCCTGGGGAACACAGCCGGAGCTAACCCCAGTGTCCTCTGCCCCTCAGCCCCGAGTCTGCTGAGTTTGGCAAGGCCTGCGCTGTCCTGGGACAAAGGTGCATCCCTTCAGCTCTTGTCTGTGGAGCTTGGGGCTTTCTGTATTTATGTATTTGTACGAATGTATATAGTGACCAGAGCGTTCTAAGACCTACCCCGGAACCGGCAGAGGGGCCACTGCCAAACTCAGGCTCCTCAAGCCCAGCTTGGATAGGCCAGGCCCCTGAGCCCCCAGCACTGTGCTCGCCACCGCTGCCGCTGCCACCGACCTCTGAGGGAGACTTGTGCCTGCCCTGCTGCCCTGGGCTCAGGCCACCACTTTCTGGGGCCCGATGCGGCCCCTTTTCAGCACTTCCAGAGCTGGAGCTGGGGCATATGTCCCCTGGGCCTGTGCCAAAGTGTGAGCCTCTGGAGATTGGTCTAACCCTGGGACCATTGTCCACTGCCAGGCTATCCCAGATGGGTTGCCTCTGCCTTCCAGCCCCCAGGGCACCTTGTCCGTCCTGCTGGGCCCCACCCTGAAGACTCCTCTTGCTGAACACCCCAGCCCAGGCCATGGAGAGGGAGATATCCCTGGCCAATCCTCAGACATTCCAGACTCCCCTCATAACAATAGACACGTGTGCCCAGCAATAATCCTCCCCTTCCAGGTGTGCCTGTGGGGTGTGTGTGTGATGTGTGTGGTGTGTGTGCGTGAGTGTGTGTCTGAAGAAGGTAGGCTGAGTCGCACCTCAGGCCCAGCCCTGGCCCTTCCCAGACTGTGATGGCTGTACTGGTCCCAGAGTGAGAGTTAACGTGGGATTACAGGGGACTGGTTTTTCCTATTTAAAGTCTGTTTTTATTACTCATTTTGTCCAATGTAAGCTGCCACATGTCTCTGTGTGAATACAGTCCGAGCACAAACCTGGCCAGCCACTCTTGCCTGCCTTTTTCTTGCTCCTGGTGCTCCAGGGGTCTTCTTGCTTCCCAGGCCCTGCTGGAGCGGGAAGGGGTTAGTGGTCGGCCTGGCAGCACGAGTGGCCAGACATTGGTGATCTTTGGGCTCATCCTTTGAGTTACTTGGGCTTCTGAGTGGGGTGAGACATAAGAGAAGATGCCTTTGGCCCTCGTCAGATGTGTCCACTAGTAAAGCAGGTCCAGATGGTGGTGTCCCCTCCAAGGCCCATTTGGCCTGGCTACCGGTCATAGGGATGGTTGGGGGAGCCAGGTGGGAAGTGCTTTTAGAAATACCTTCTTAGTCTTACCTGGATGCGTGCTTTGCATCCAGTTTGGGACCAGCACTCATGCATTAAAGCCAGTCCTCTGCTCTGCTCTTGAAGCAGAAATAGGGGCTGACAAACTGGTGATGCTGGGACCCAGGCAGACTGTGTGGTGGGGGTCTACCACATGGGCATCAGGGAGACGCCTCTGCAGAAACCAGTTTAACTAGTATTTTTTAAGATTTATTTATTTTTTTTTAAGATTTATTTATGCATTCAGAATTGGGGTACAGGCCAGAGGCTCAGGGCTGTGAGAGGCTTCACCAGAGACAGTGGGGAGCAGAACAGGCAGATTGACGAAGTACACTGTTGAGGGGAGCAGCGGGCGGGTCAGGAGAGGTCTGCCACACCATGTGGTCACCTCCGGGGCAGGCGGGAATCGAACTCATGCAGAAGCGACTTTAGCTTCTCAGTGCTGTGCTTTAATCGCTGTGCCACCAGGGAGGGCCTTAAGATTTATTTTTATGCATACAAGAGCTGGGGCATAGGACAGGGTTACAGAGGGTTGAGAGGACTCACCAGAGACCGTGGGGAGCAGAATAGGCAGAGTAATGGAAATACACTGCTGAGGGGAGCAGCAAGCAACACAGAAATCTGCTGCATCATGTAGGCCAGCTTCCTGGTCCGGGATTGAACACGTGCTGCAGTGGCTGCCAGTAACTCTGTAGTGTTGAGACCCAAACTTTGTGCCACCAGGGAGGTCCCAGTTTTTATTTTTAAAGATTTATTTGTTTATGCATACAAGAACTGGAGTGTAGGCCATAGGTATGAGATATGAGAGGACTCACCAGAGTAGGGAGCAGAACAGGCAGATCTACTGGAAATACACTGCTGCTGGGGCCAGCGGGTGAGAGGAAAGGTCTGCTGTGACATGTGGGTTAACACTGGCTGGGGATCGAACTCCTAACTCATGCCTCATGCTGTAGTGACTGGCAATAGTTTGAGAGTGCTGAAACTTAACTCCTGCACCATCAGAGCAGCCCTTGAACTGGGATTTGAAGGAGCTATTCATTTGGGGGGACAGAGGGTTTGGGAGCATGCAGACTTGGAGTTAACACCTGTTGGCCCCAGATCTGACCCAGACTTCACAAACTCTTTGCTGTCCTTTAGCCTCCCGAGGCCCTGCTCTCCCCTCCCCTCCACTCCCAACCCCACCCCTACCTTGTAGAAATTTCCACCAGAAATTTGTTCACTGCCTCTGGGCTGGGCACCAGTACCACAGAAGCCACACCTTTGCAGCTGGACAGTTCTGAGTGCAAGTTCAGTCTGGATGCAAGCAAGCTGCCTTATCTGGAAAGATGGATGCCCAGGAGAAGCCACCGAAGCAGCCAGTCATAGACATACCCACGGGTACAACCAGGACCCTAGGTCACTGGTAGGATTTAGGTGCTGGGTGCCACACCAAGGACAAGTTCAAGGATAGGAGGTTCCAGGCACTGACTTAGAAGGGGCTTTGCAGCCAGCTATTGTGTTGGAGTTCCCACTACCTCTTCTGTTACCTTGAGGGAAACATTAAGGAAATGGTCTTGTCTAAGGTCTTCCAGCCAGCGTGTGGCTGGAGGTGGATTAGAAGCCAGCTAATGATAATGGAACTCGGTCCTGCCCATGAGGGTAAGGTTGAGGCACAGTTGCCTCTCTGTGTCAGTTTCTGTTGGGGGCAGAAAGAGCAGGTAGGTATTGGTATGCAGAGGCCAAGCCCAACCCTGTGCAGGGTGAGTGGGTACCAGGTGAAAGGGGGGTCCCCAGGGCTTGCTGCCTGTAGTGGGTCCAGGCCTCCCCTTAAAAGTGCCCCCTTGGACCAGGGAGGCATCCAGGGAACCTGGTCAGGGTTCAGCTCAACCTGAAGCTTTTACCATCATGGATCCTAGTCAGAGGAAACCCAGAATTCAGTTTCCAACAAGCCTTCCTTAAAGCGCATCCCCTCTTCATCTAGTTCTATTAGTGGGAGCTGGGGACCCAGATGGAGACAAGGCCCCTGCCAGCTTGGAGCTCAGTCTGGTAGGGAAGCAGACGTGGGAACAGTAGGACCCAGTGTGATTACTGTGGCAGAGATGATTCTAGAACTGGCAGGAATGGGACTGCTGTAGCACTGGGGTTAAGGTTGACTGGAAGCAGGGACAGTCCCTTGACCACAGAGGTGTCAAATTGCTGCCCTCAGGACACAGGACCAATCTGCCCAGATGGAGTAGTGAGGCAGGGTCTTAGTTTAGGACAGCTGAAGGTCAGTGGGGTGGGTAGGGGTTCCTGAAAAAAGGGAGTGGCTGGAGTTGAGGTCTGTGACATGCAGCCACATGTCACTGGGATGTGGGGGCTCATCTATTAATAGAAGACAAGGGAGTTCCTGGAGTGTTTTAACTGGTCATGGTAGGGTGTCTACCTAGTATGTACAAAAGAACCCCAAGATACTTTGGGGGAAACACCTCTCAGTCTATGTTGTTGAGATGGGGCTGGGGCTTTGCTTGCACCCCCTAAACACATGTTACACACACCTACAGCTATGACCCAGGTGGCACTGTTAGGGATCCTTGGTTGCAAGTGACAGCTGTGTCTTCCACCCAACTTAGAAAGTGTTAAAAAGGTGTGAGGGAACTGATAGGGAATACCAGAGCTGGGGCAGCTGTGGGGTCTTACTCCTGACCCCATTTCTCACCAGGGCCTTTGCATCATTGAGCCTGTCTTCAAAATTCCAATGACTGGGCTGGAAACCTGCCCACTGTGCATCAGAGGAGCAGGACATCTGGGGAGACCCGTGAGGTTCAATAAGTCTCCCTGATGAAATGAGGGTGCGCACACTGGTGTATTGGACACATGTCCCCTTCCCCAGTCGTGGCTACCTGGATTTATTTGCCAGTGGACATTCAACTAAGATGGGCCAGTTAGTGGGGCATGGGAGTGAGGGGTGGGAGTTGCCAGAACTAGTGGGAGAGAATTGTGAGTTCTCTTTCCTCTGGGGATGGGTGGCAGAGTTAAAGCTGAATGCTTGGGATCACCTTGCCATCATTTGTGGGACAGTTTGCAGAAAGATGATGCACGTAAGAAAGTGGAGAGAATGGATAATGCCTGAAGCCACTGCTGGAGCCATGGAGCCAGAAGAGGTACCCCTGGACATGAGTCCCCCTCATGCTCAAGCCTATTATGCTCTGTCACAACCCAAAATGCTGGCTGATGTAGTGGTGGAGGGTGTTTTTGGAAGATCGTAGTTTTGTGGCAGAGAAGTTGGACTAGAAATAGAATCCAGTTAAGAAGCTGGAGGACAGCCAGTTCAGACTTGACCTGTCTAGACAGTGGGAGACTCACTAAGGTTCCCTTCTTTCCCTGAAATGAGCAGGGGTCATGAACTCGGAACTGGTTCCTCTGCCCTGTGCTACTTCTTATTGGCCAAGTGATGATGCATGCTTGGGGGGCTGGGGGTGGGGGTGATATTGGGAGAGGTTTGAGTTCGAAGAGGCCGTATTTTCGCGGTTGGAGCCACGCTGGGGTGCCTGCCTGCGCCAACCCCTGCCCACTGGATGCGGGCGAGCCCTCTCAGGATGTGGAGGGGGGGGGGGGTGCGGACGTGTGAGTGCCTTCCGGGTTGAGCTGTTGTGGGTCGGGGGTTTTTGATCTGAGCTGCTTAACTGAGCATCCTGTGTTATGCCCATTGCGGGCCCCGGGTGCCTGCGGTGCCCACGTCCGGACAGGCCAGGAGCTGTGTGGCGTGGAGCGTGCGTCCCTGTGCAGGGTGAGCCCGGCGCGCGGAGTCTGGGCGCGGCAGACTCGCCCGACGCGCCGGGCCCTCGGTGCTTCCCGGGTCTGCCTCGCCGTCCGCGAGTGGTTGGGGGTGGGGCCCGCTACCGGCTGCCGCGCGCGCGCACGCCGAGCTCGGGACGCGCCGTGTACGCGCCCGTGCGCGCCCCGCGCTCCAGCCCAGCGCTGGGAGCTGCCTTCGCTGCCACAGTCTGCTCCCCCGGCCGCCGCCGCCTCCCCCAGGCCGGGGGCTCTGTCCGCTGGGCCCGCGCCGCTCGCCCCGAGCCAGGAGGACGAGCTCGAGGAGGATGCCTGGGCCCGTGAGTACCGCGGAGGCGGCAGCGGGCCGGCGGGCACGGAGCGCGGGTGGAACATGGTCCTGGGTTGAGCCCCTCCCCACGGGATCCTCGGCGCCTTGGCCGGGGGTCGCCGCCCCGGACCCCCGCCCCGGCCAGCCCCTCTCGCAGCCCACTCTAGAGAGAGGGAGGAAAGAAGGGAGGGAGAGGGAGGGCGCCAGAGAGCGAGAGAGCCAGAGCCGGGCGCGAGCCGCCACCGGTTCGCTTGGAAACGGTTGCCACAGCAACGGGGTTGCGCTCCCCAGCAACGCGGCTGTGGGGCGGCGACGCCCCCTCCTACCCCTTCCCTACCCCCACCCCACGCGGGGCCGCAGCCCCCGGGGCGAGGGGGTGCGGGGAGTCCCCTCCCCCGGTGGGGGAACCAAGCTCCTCTAGCCCTGGGGGTGCCTACCTCTATAGCCCGTCGAAGGTGGGGGTGGGGGGGGACAGCCCAGTGGGCACGAGCTGGCTCCCACGTGGCTGCAGTCGTCGCAGCAGGGCTCCTGGGGTGGCTGCAAATATGGGGGCGGCCTGCGGGAGAGGAGGCATGGAGGCTGGGCCCAGGGTCTGTGCCCAACCACCACCACC